GTGGTGCTGGGGGGATTGAACCGTGGTCCCTGTGCTTTGCTAAGCTTGTTCTAAGTAGGTGCTTTAGACCACTGAGCCATCTCACCAGCCCCTAGACAGGGTTTCATTAAGTAGTGCAAGCTGGCCTTGAACTCACTGTGTCTGTAGCCCAGGATGGCCTTGAACTCCCAGTGATCCTCCTGCCCCTCCTGCCTCAGTCTCCTGAGTGCTGGGATTATAGGCATGCGCCACCATCAGAGCTAAAGTTTGAGTTTTTAAAGCATCTTTATTGAGGGATACTTCATATTCCATAAAACCTACATGTTTTGCTGATACAGTTTTAGTAAATTTAGATCATTGTGCAAAGATCATGAAATCTAATTTTGTAACACTCCTTTCATATAGGAAACAAAACCTGTCCTTTTGTAATTAATCTTTGCTACCAACCTCAGCCCCAGGAAACCACTTTCTTTTTTTTCCCTTTTGTACCAGAAATAAAACTCAGGACCTTGCGCGCCAGGCAAGTACTGTGCCACTGAGCTATATCCTGTCCCCACACTGCTTTCTATATAGGCACTAATTTTACCAGGGCTAGAAATTCCACATAAATGGAATCATATAATATATGCTTCTGTGTCTGGCATTATATTTTTGAGAATATACATGCTATTGTGTCATTGGTCCATTCTTTTTATTTATTTTTATTTTTATTTTATTTTTTTTTTGCGGAACCGGGGATTGAACTCAGGCCCTTGCGCTTGCCAGGGAAGCACTTATTCCACTGAGCCATCTCCCCGGCCCCTGGTCCATTCTTTTTAATTGCTCACTGGTATCCCATGTTTTGTTTATTTACCAATTGAAGGGTACTGCATTCAGTTTTAAGCTATTATTGGTGATGGTACTATGCACATTCCTTATAGATCTCATTTGTGAAAACAAAATGTATTTTTATTTCTCATGTATGGAATTGCTCATTTGTATAGTAACCATGTGTTTAATTTTTTAAAAAAATTGCCAAATGGACCCTACCATTTTACATTTTGTCCAGTATTGTATGAGGGTTCCAGTTTGTGTCCTTTTCAGTGTTAAGTATTGCCATTTTTAAAAGTTTACCCATTTTATTTTTTAGTAGTATTTCATTGTACTTCCTTCTCCTCCTTTTCTTCTTCTCCCCCCCTCCTTCCTCTCTTCTTCCCCCTCCTCTCCCTCATCCTTTTCTCTTCCCTCTCCTCACCCTCTTCCCTTTTCTCCTTCCCCTCCTCCCTTTTCTCCTCGTTCTCCTTGGTTGTTTTGAATCAGGGTCTCACTATGTATTGTAGTTTAGGCTGGCACTGAACTCACAGCAGTCCTCCTTGGTCTCCCAGATGCCAAGGTGACAAGTATTGTCACCTTGCCTGGCTCTCTTACGGTATTTTGAAAAGAGCTTTATTGATATAATTCACACATCATGTCACTTACCATACCATTCACTCATTTCACTTGTACAATTTAGGCACTTTCAGTATATTCAGAGTTGTGCAATCATCGCAGTTATTTTTCTTCATCTCCAAAAGAAACACCTTAACTGTAATTCTCTGCCCATTAGCCCTAAAATGCTATTTTGTCTCTGTAGATTTGCCTTTTCTGGATATTTCATAAATGAAATGGCATAGTATATGGTTCTTTGTGACTAGCTTCTTTAACTTTTCTTTCTATTGATCTTCTCCACTATACATTTCTGTATACCCAAACATTTACGTATGAACATAAACCTTTTATTTATCAATTTGTCAGTGGTGAAGATTTGGATTTTGTTCTCCATTTTTGCCTGTTATAAATAATGCTGTTATGGATATTTTGCACATGTGTTTGTAAATGTTTTTTTCATTTTTTCTGATGCACACTTGGGAGTAGAATCATGGGGACTTAAGAGTTTGTTTAGCCTTTTTGGGGTTGTCAGGCTGTTTTCATTTGACTCATCCAGTGGCATTAATATACAATAATACTGATTTTTAATTGATGTCTGCTAAACATTGGAGTAGTGGTGGTGGATTTTTACTTTATACCAACCCTAGATACCTGAAAACAGATTTGGATATCACGCTGAGTTAACCTTTTTCTCTTTTCCACTTCCCTCAGAAACACCTCAGACTTACACTTGACTAAATCATCTTGTTTTTCTGTTTTACAGATTAAGAAAGTTAGCCTGAGTTTTGTGAAAAAACGAAAAGACAAGGTTTTTCCAGTTTGCATAATGTAAGTTCTTTTCACTATTCTTGGCCACAATCCTGTGTTCACTGACAAAGCTGTTTCTATGGAAACAAATAGTCCAGCCTCTTAGAATGTCAGAGGAATGCCGATCACTTAAAATGAGACTTCCCAGCTGCTGGTCAAAGGGCATGCCTTGCTGAAGAAGGATAAATGGAAAGAAATATTGAAGTTTTGGACACTAGTGTAAACAGACTGTGTGTATGCGTATCGAGTATATATTTTCCTTTCTCTGTGTAAAAATGAAAATATTATTTCCTTCTAACCTGTATTATTTTCCTGCAAACTTGTCATGACTCTCAGCTATTACATAAATAGTCTCTTTCTTAGTGCAGTTCTTCAGTGATTCTCTAACCCTTAAGGTTATTTCAGTCTTCTAATTCAATCATTTGTACTTGAAGCTTATTTAGCTTTCTTTCATTCCCTCTCTTAGCCAGTTTATGAAGCATCTCTTTTCCTCCCCAACTAGTTCAAGTTAGCATCAGAATAGCTTTGGCCTGCCAACTTCAAAATTTGTTTTCTTGCTTTGTGGACTATATAAAGATTTTTTTTTTTTTTTTTCTTTGTAGAGAGTAGAATTAGGGATTCTGATGAAGATTAGAAAGACATCCTTCAAATTGTTTTCTTAAATTTTAAACTTATGCTTTAAGGTTGGGAAGAGAGGAATTAGGCCCAAAACTTGTAAACTCCATTATCTTCAGCCTATTATTTGCCTCAAGTAGGTAATTTTCTAGTTTGATCATTTATTTCTGAAATGTCAAAGGATTTGGGTCATCGTATTTTGTTTTTTAAGTCCTTTGTACTGGGATTCTTTTACTATGTATTGATACATATTGATTGTATACATAAATATATACATATGAGTTTTGATCTTGCTGGGTGTGGTGCTACATGCCTGTAATCCCAGCTAAGGCAAAAAGATCACTGTGCCTGTCTGAAAAAAGAACTTCTTTTTTTGGTACTGGGATCTAACACAGGGGTGCTCTAACACTGAACCTACCACAGGTCTTATTAATTTTGAAACAATCTTGCTAAATTGACCACGCCAGTCTTGAACTCAGAAATCTTGCTTTATCTTGATGATTGCTGGGATTATAGGTGTGTGCCACTGTGCTTCACTAAAAATTAGAATGACTTTAATGCTAAAACTGGGGCACAGCATAATGTTCTTTTGTTTCTGCAAGTACTTGAGACTCTTCCTGGCCCTCATAGATTAACTTGTGAGCATGGTAGTCTTTTGGATTGTTCTGTGTGATGATAACCAAGATATGATAACCAAAAAGATCTGAAAGGATTTTTTGTTTGTTTGTTTGTTTTGTAGTGCCAGGGCTCTGCGCTTGCTAGGCAAGTGCTTATTCTACTGAGCTATCTCCCCGACCCTGAAAGGTTTCTTCAAGAAATTAGGAACATGGCCAGCCAGATAGCTCAGCAGACTAAAGTGCTTACTTAGGCAGACAGAGCGATCAGGGTTTGATCCCTAGCGTGCTGTGCTGGCCCTGCCCTGGGGATCGTGCACCTGTAATCCCCGTGCTTGGGAGGCTGAAAAACAGGAGGATCTCTACAAGTCCAATCTATGTAATGAGACCCTGTGGACTTTGTACTAAATACATTAAAAAAAAAAAATTAGGAACTTAAGGGAGATCTTGAAGCTAGAAGATGAAAAGAGATGCAGTTTATAAGGCATTTAGGCAGGAAGAAAAAAGGTATGGAATAGACACAAATTAAGCTAAATTAAAAGGCTCATGTAGGATAGTATAAAAAACACAATGCTTAGATCTTGTAGTTTAGACTATTTTCTAGGTGGCATTGAAGACCATCAGAAGTTCTAAACAGAGGAATAATTTGCTCATATGCTTAATTAATCATCCATCCCTTACTAAGTATCATAGCTAGAGAAATGAATAAGACAGATCCCTATGAACTAGATCTAATGGTCCTGTGATTCCACTGGTGTGAAACAGGGTCTTTTGTGTGACTAATATTTAGTTGCCCTTTGAGATGCAAGGCAAAGAAATATGTATCCTTATGTTTTCAGTGTTTCCTCTCTTACCATAGACTAAATTTTAGACTTGTTCAACCTTTGTGAATCTATGACATTCCAAGTTTAGTTAAACAAATATTTCTTGGACATTTTGTTTATGACGTGTTACGCTAAACACTGGTGATATAGAAATATAAAAACACTGGTGATATGAAACCTAACAAATTTGGAATTTGTGGTAGTGAGAACAACTGGAGAAGTCATTTATTTTCCTGCTAGTCTCCTAGTAGATTGTGAACTCTCCAAAGGAGATAACAAAAGTAGCAGATAAATAATAAGATTGAAGAAATTTTTCTAAAAGTAAGACTAGATCCAAATAAATAAGTATGATGATAATACTCCAACCATGAGAGTTGAGGTGGGGAGTGGGGGGTGGGAGGTGGTGTTTTTCCCCAAGTCCTGGAACTCATTGTGACCAAATATGAGAAAATTTTGACCAAGATCACCTGAGCATGATCTGTAATGTTTTCCCTCATGATTTAGTTTAGTATTTATACATTTTTGATTATTTTAAAACTCAGTCTTGATTTCAGATTTTTGTTTATATAAGCTATATAATCTACTATTGTTTGATTGTTTAATATCCAGTAATTATGAATAAAGTTGAGAGTTAATTTTCTGGAAATATGTATACTCCTAGATTTTTTTTAATTGATGTTAATAGCACTGTAGTAACTCCTACACACATTTCTGCTTACTTGTAGTGAAAACATTAAATTAGCTGAACTTGCATTTGTATATAATCAACATATAAAACTTAAGATTGTCAAAATCTAATTACTCTCATTGTAATGAAAAAGAATATTAATGGTAAATAAAGTAGTATAGATCACAGAGTTGTTAATAAAGAAACTAAAATTTAGATGGAAGATAATAATCTACCCCAGTTGTTGTGAAAATATTATTTTAGAGTTTTCTTGTTTACCTTAATTGTTTTTCCTAGTAGCCTAGGCTTGTAAATTAAGCACTTTGTCTTCTGTCCCTATTTTTACCGTGATATGTGAAAGAAGATTGAGTGGTTTTGGGAATATTGCCTAAAAACCTGGTTTTTGCTTAGTTCGCATTGTGCCCTAAAAGCTTATCAAGGAGGTAGTAGGTGTATTATTGTAAATATTTTTAAAGCCTTGTATAAAAGAAAGTTAATTAGATTTAATGTGTGGGTTTTTGCACATATAAACAATCTGCCTATTTATGCCTGAGAAATGGCTTGATGAAAAGCCAGTATTATTTGATACAATATTTTTGTCTCAAATATGTTGGAAGAATTTTAAAATAGAATCAAATTATTCATTTTATAACATGTACCTTATCTTATAATTTAGGATAATTCTGTGAATAAATTTTTTATGTGTGCCTGTGGTTCAGAGAGAAACCAGTCTTAAATCATGAAGCTCTAAGGGGGTGATGGTGAACCTTTTAGAGCTTTCAATGATAAACACAACCCACTGCAGCATGGGTACCATAGATTCATGACCACTGTTCTAGGCAGAGTAGCAGAGTCAAAACAAAAATTCAGTTTTCTAGTCTCTTAAGTTCAGTGTTATTTTTACTGTATAGTAGGATTTTTAGAATGGTATTGGACACTACCATTTTTCTTTCAATGAATTCTTGTAAAATAACCCTTTTTTTTTCATATAATCAGTTATAAAGACTTATTACTTGCTTGGCCCTTTTCTCAGTATAATTTTATCCTTAGGTGCTTTTGCAGCTAACTGGATTTCTCCTTTAGGCATCTTCTTTATCTCAACCCCCTTAGCCATGAGTTAGTTCTCCAAGGGAACTCCTTGTGCTTTGAGTGAGCTACCATTGTGGCTTGCTATATGTCAAATTACCATTAATTGCTTTGTAGCAGTTAATTTGTTGATCTTGTTTATCAGTTAAGCATGAAACATTGTGTTGATACAACTTTAAAAAGATAAACACCATTTAAACTGTATGTGGTTTACTTATTACAAAATTAGTATCCAAAACCTTTTTTACTTTTCTACTTTATTAAACTTCCTGGTATATGTTTCTTAGCTATAAAATCGAATATTATGCTTCAAATTCTTGGGAGAGGGCTGGTGAGATGGCTCAGTGGTCTAAAGCACCTACTTAGAACAAGCTAAGCGAAGCACAGGGACCGCGGTTCAATCCCCCAGCACCACATGCCAGCCAGCCCCGCCCCCTGGTGGACTGAGCTGGCCACACACACACAATAAATAAATAAAATTTAAAAAAAAAAATTCTTGGGAGATGACTTTTTTTGTAGAAACACCCTGATTCCCTCAGAGTTAGCTAGAAAATGAAAAGAATCTATTTAATCATAGAAAAATATTATTGTATATTTATTAGATATTTTCTGTGTAGTGTGTAGATTGAAAATGGGCTGTGTAAAGTCTATTTTTATGTTGTAATTCTTACACTTTTCTCCCCCATTTTTCCCCTTAGATTTTCCTCATGGATGTTTTTCATAGCATTATTATGTGATGTGAGAAAGTTTTTTTTTTTTTTGAAATAAACATGGATTTTATACTACAGAATCAAGAAAATTGGCATTATACGAAAAATTAATATATAAAAGGTGGTACAGGTTTTTATAGATAACCATGACAACATCCTATATGAATGGGCATGTTACAGAGGAATCAGACAGCGAAGTAAAAAATGTTGGTCTTGCATCACCAGAGGAACCTTGGAAGCACCGAGAGATGGCTGTCGACTGCCCCGGAGATCTGGGCACCAGGATGATGCCGGTGCGACGCAGTGCACAGTTGGAGCGTATCCGACAGCAGCAGGAGGACATGAGGCGTAGGCGAGAAGAAGAAGGGAAAAAGCAAGAGCTTGACCTTAATTCCTCCATGAGACTTAAGAAACTAGCCCAAATTCCTCCTAAGACTGGAATAGATAACCCCATATTTGATACAGAAGAAGGCATTGTCTTAGAAAGTCCTCATTATGCTGTGAAAATATTAGGTAAGTAAAAACAGCGGAATAATAAAATGTTTTTGCTTTATGTATGCTTTAATATAAATCTGTGAGAAGGAGTAGGGGCTTAAGAGTGTGAATAATAGTAATTTGGATTATTTTTATTTATTTTTTATTTTTTGTGGAACCAGGGATTAAACTCAGGCCCTTGTGTTTGCCAGGCAAGCACTTATTCTACTGAGCTACTTCCCCGCCCCTGGATTATTTTCTTGGAAAGGCCTTATCATCATTCTTTATTTTAGCCACATAAAGCAAAGACATGTAACTTAAATGTTTCAACATATTTTCAGGTATTAAAAAGTTCTTCATGTGGCTTTAACATTTGAAGTTTTGATTTTTTTTTATAACAGACTCACATTTTTATGTCAAATATTGGAAAGTTTTCAGATTTTGAATTTCCCGTATTTGTCAAGTAATAGTGAAATTAATAACTACAGCTTGAAACCTATTTTATATCTTTAAGAACTGTCAGTAACATAAACACGTGTTGATCATATGGAATCATACATGTAAAATATGGCTTAAAATTCTATACACTATGCATAATGTTCTATGAAAAAGAAATTTAAACCAGTCCTGAAAGTTTTATTTATTTGTATATAAAAGAGGTCTGTGACCAGATTACATTACTGATAAATAAGTTAAATACCTCGTCACTACAAGACTTCTTTGATCCTTAATAATATTGATAGGCATTATGGACCTAATGAGATTGATTGATTGATGTAGAATTCATATATCCAAACTTAGAAAGTTTGAGCATGGAATTTTTTGCATGCCTTTCCTACACAAACTAGTACTCCCTGAACAAGTATCATAATACTATAGAAGTCAGTTTGAGAAATGCTGCTTTATACATTAATTTGTGCTGACTTTAAAGGTAGATTAACTCAAGAGAAGTGTTTTATTTCTAAGTGATTTGCTGGGTTTTTTAAAATGGGGGAAAAAAACCACTCTTTTATGAGAATTTTTGTTGTCATTGTTATTTGGCTACTTGACTATTCACTGAAATGTCTGATGAGCTGTATACTGGGTGCTTTAGCAAATGAGTCTCTGTAGTAATACTCAGAATAATCCTGTGAACTAGAACTATAATCTTCATTTGGGAGATAAAGAAATTGAACCTCAGTAAAGTCACTCACTTTCGCACCATGCTGGTAAGTGCTATGTAGAGCCACATTTGAACTGGCCGGATCTGGACCTGTGCATACACATGGAAAGCCACGCACAAGGTGGGAAGTTTGGATGGAGTCTTACATCCAGCCTCACACTTCAGTGAGCAGGCAAAGCTGTGGCTACCCAGAGGAGAGTAACTTTTCTCTAATTTTTCCAACACACCATTTATATGCTGCATTTGTTTCTCACTAAATCTCTTTATTTCAAATCTGGAGCAATTTTTACTATACTGTATCATGTCATCTGCTTCTTTTCCTTGTTATATATTTATTCAGGACTCACATTTCAAATATGTGTATAAAAGATTACATACATCATCTTTGATACATTTATGTGAACATTTTTTATCTAGTGATACATACTGAGCACATACAGAAATTGCATGATCTGCTTCACATGCTGTAGAATAATCTTCACTTTATGATAAGTGGTCTACTTTAACACAGTAGCCAACACCTTAAGGTTGAAGGGATTTTATGTTACTTTTTCCTAATGATTTTGTTAGAGTGCAAATACTTCCTATCCAGTTGGCTCTTACTTTCAATTCCTGCCACTCTTTCCTTTTTTCCCTCCCTCCCTAAAATAGTCTGTAAATATTTTTTATTGGACATGGTTTGTGTTATAATATATCCATCAAGTCTTCTGTTTTTTTTTTTTTTTTTTCTAAATTTCTTTAAGATTGACTATTTGCCTATTGGCACTACTTAGAATCAGGCATAAATGTTTATCTAATAGATAATATTCTTATAATCACAACAAAGGAACATACAGCATAAGCCAGACTCATTTGGGGAAGTGTTTTAGGTTTGTTTGTTTGTTTTTTTTTTTTTTTTTTTTTGGTGCATATACAGAAAGATTATTTCAATAATTTATTTTTTCTTTTTCTTGTTTCTTTTTCTTTCTTTTTAAAATTTTTGAGATTATTTTTACTATGTTGCTTATGCTGGACTCCAGCTACTGGGTTCAGGTGATTCTCACCTCAGCCTCTGGAAACTAAGGGGTGCCCTACTGTCCTTGCTGCTTGCTCACTCCCCTCCCCTCCCCTCTCTTTCCCTCCCCTTCCTTCCCCTCCCTTGCCTTTCCATCCCTTTTCCTCCCCTCTCCTCCCCTCTTTTCCTTTCTCTTCCCCTCCTCCCTTCTCTTCTCCTCTCTTGTTTCTTCTAGGAATAGAAACTCAGGACTTCACACATTCTAGGCAAGTACCATACCACTGAGTGATATCCCCAGGCTCTGCTTTTTTCTTAAGGGACGGCTATATTTTCTTATACTTTGTAATCCCCAGTGGTCCTCATAAATACTTTTGATCTTGAACGGAAGGCTTTTTTAAAAAAAAAAACATTTTAAACTTACTGCAAACATGGTATCAAGTATTTGTAGCCTTACTGGACAGAAGATTTAGTATTTTGAGAAATAAGTCATAGATTTAATGCAGATACCTATTGATTATAGGAAATGTGAGAAACTAGCATAAGTTGTAGATTGTTATTGTCAGTCACAGCCCCAGTTTTTAGATATAGTCAATTTTAAGTTTTCATTTAAAATTAAATAGGATAGATTTTCACCTTTTCCTTCTGCTCATAATCTGCTAACACATCAAAGTATAACAAAAATACTCCCTTAAAATTGTATGTGCCTCCTTGCCAGTATTTTGATTAACACACACATGACCGGAGACAGCTTTTTAGCCTTTGTCACAGCCAGAGACAGCAACTTTATTTTAAATGAGGGAAGCATGGGACAACTGATTTCTTTCCTTGAGAGGAAGGCTTCGGTTTTCAAATAATGCATCATTTATCTGTGAGTACGTAGAGTATTCTAAGAATTTAAAATGTCACTGTAAAGATTAGATACTTTGGGTGGTTTTTAAAAATTAAAGTATTTTTAAATATGGCAGTGCATGATAATAAATGTACAGAGATGGATGTAACTGGCAGATAATACTCAGAAGTGATAAAAATTTTGTTTAAAAGCCATAAGAATCTTGTAAAAATAAAAAAATATTGATTTGAAAGTTAACTTCAAATGAATAATACTAACATTATAAATCATAAAAAAATATACTAGGGCGGCTTCCTTAAAATTGGCATTGGTTTTAAGCCCTGCTTTGTCATAGTCTTTGTTCTCTTTCATAATCAAAGCAAACTGCCTTATGAAAGAAATCCTGAGAAAAGAAAGATACAGGTTATAGCGGGATAAGACCAAAAAAAGGACAATATTGAGATATTCTTTCTTTTTTTTTTTTAAATTAATTAATTAATTTATTTATTTATGTGTGTGTATGTGTGGCCAGCTCAGCCCACCAGGGGGTGGGCTGGCTGGCATGTGGTGCTGGGGGATTGAACCGCGGTCTCTGTGCTTTGCTAAGCTTGTTCCAAGTAGGTGCCTTAGACCACTGAGCCATCTCACCAGCCCCCAATATTGAGATATTTCTGGCCTGTAGATTTTACAGGTTTTGTTTTTGTGTTTATAGATAAGTAACTTGGGGCCAAGGATGTGTACAAATATAGTGGACAGTTTTTAAAGGGAATATAAGCCAGGGAAGACTGCCATCCATCATATATGTGTGACTATGTAATTGTTACACCTTTGAAGAAATGTCAGGATGGGTTGCACATATTCATGGGCTGAACTGTTTTGTGGCTGATAAAGAAAGACTGAAATTTAAAATTAGGAGCTTTCTTATTTGCATCAGATACTAAAGTATAAAGAAAATAAAAGACAAAAAAGGAGAAGGAAACCAGGGTAAATAATGCTAAAGAATGAAACATTTTCATAGTATTAATGATAGCATGTTTCAGTCTTGACTAGTGTCTATATATTTTTTTTCCGAATGTCTCTGAATATGCATATTGTAAAGTAAGAATATTGACATTTTAAAGTAAAACATCTCTTCCAGATTTCTTTGTGCTGTTGATTTTTGACTGGGATATACTGGTATTTTGTTTGATTGTGATAAACTTAAGGTGAACAAAGTTCCAGAGCCAGTAAATCTTGAATTTTACATTAGCTGACTTTTAGAAGTTAGTTATTTTCACTACCAAATTTTTAGTTAACTGCTATAGATACTCCTAAACAAACTCTCTTTTCTTTCTCTTTCTTTCTTCCTCCCTCCCTCCTTCCCTCCATCCATCTGTCTGTCTGTCTATCTATCTGGTACAGGGTCTTACTATGCAGCTCAGATTCAGTGAGTAATCAGTCCTCTTGTTTTCAGCCTCCCCGGTGCTGGGATTACAGGTGTGTGCCATCATGCCCAGTCTCAGTGGCCAGCTCAGCACACCTGGAGAAGGGGCTGGGGCCAGGGCCAGCGCAGCCTGTGGTACAGGGGATTGAATCTGGTCCCTATGTTTGCCTAAGCAGGCACTTAGTCTGCTGAGCTATCTTGCTGGCCCTCCAAGCAAACTTTCTTAGCCATTCCTTCAAGGACTTTTTTTCTTCTTGAAAGTGAAATGATTGATACTAGGTTTGATGTTTAAAGTGTTCAGACCCCCTGAGAATTCTCTAATTCAGCCACATTGCTAAAATTATAGCTAACCTAAACTATAGATTGAAAATGTTTATAGTTTTATAAATTGTTATTAAATGCACATGTCTACTAAAAATAATTAACTGCTACACAATGTATTAAAATATATCAAACTTCATTTCACTTTTTAGGTAAGAATAGTTTTTATTTTTGATTTATTATTTATGGCATGTTAACATGCTTGGCATAATTGCATATTGAAAATTATAGGGATGTCAGGATTAGGACTGAGTTCTAATACTTTCTATTATCATTTAATTGCTGTTGACTTTTTAGGTAGGTTACTTAATTTTTCTGAGCCTGAGTTTCAGGATTATCTTGACAACCAAGTTTTAAAAAAATATATACAAGTGGCACATTTTGGCTTGGAAAAAAGTTGGAGTTTATTGGGGGTGGGTGTGGGAAATTAATCTAGGCCTAATAAATTCTAAGCAATATTATACCACTGAGTTACAGCCCCAAACCTAAAAATTGATTTTTATAAGAACTAAAAGCTAAGAAAGATCATCTAATGAACTCATATGTACCCTTTTATGACTAGCTTCTTTTCACTTAGCATTATGTTTTTAGGATTCGTCCATGTACAGTTCATCCTCTTTATGACTGAATGATCAATTGTGTGGATATGCCATATATTTTGTTGAACCATTTGGGTTGTTTCTTTGGGCTGTTGTAAATAATGAGATGAGGAACATTTGTGTATAGGCTTTTGTTTGAATACCTGTTTTCAGTTCTTTTGGATATATACCTAGGAGTGCAATTACAGGGTCTGCCATAATTCTGTGTTTTATTTATTAAAGAACTGCTATAGTCTTTTCCATGGTGGCTCTACTGCCTGACATTTGCGCAAAGCTGTGTGTGGAGGTTCCACTTTCTCTTATGTGCTTGCCACTACTTTTTAATCTTAGCCATCCTATCAACCAGTAATTTTTTATGAAGTAGAATAATATAGAATATATTAACATATTGCACAAGTTTACATAAATCTTTTATTTCAAAGAAGAATAAGTATATGTATTTTGGGTTTAGAAATAAAGTACCTTTTTGTTTTTTTTTGAGACAGGGTCTCACTGTGCAGTTCAGGTCAGCCTTGTGCTTACTTTTGCAGCCCGCATGCCGGTCTCAAACACACAGCAATCCTCCTGTCTCAGCCTCCCAAATACTGGGATTACAGGTGTGCACTACCATGCCCAGTTCCTAAAGTACATATTTTTAGGAGTTTCCAAAGAATGCAACTATTCTAGTTAAACCCTTCCATTTAATGGAAAGACCCAGAGACTTGAGGTGGGTTATCCAGTGATATAATACTACTTTTAACTTTTTTTTTTTTTTTTTGGCGGAACTGGGGATTGGACTCAGGCCCTTATGCTTGCCAAGGAAGTGCTTATTCCACTGAGCCATCTCCCCGTCCCCATAATACTACTTTTAAAACATGACTAAGGCATTGCTAAGACTCAAGCATTCTAATTCCAGAATTGTGTATCAAATACAATTTAAGATTGTATTTGAAATTTTCTTTTCTCTCCCACCAAGTGTCTGTCAGTTTTGTCTGGGAAAAAATCATGAAGCCTTTCTTTTTTTCTTTCTTTCTTTTCTTTCTTCCTTTTTTTTTTTTTCTTCAGAACTGGGGATTGAACTCAGGGTCTTGCACTTGCGCAAGGCAAGTGCTTATTCTACTGAGCCATCTCCCCGGCCCCCAGTCATGAAGCCTTTCTAAAAAGTACCTTGAAGGCAATTTTTTTGTTGTTTTCCTACATGTAGGAGTAAGATTTTACTCCATTGTCTCTTGACATGGTGGGGATTTGAGATTTTTTTGGGTGGGTTTTTGTTTTTATTGTGCTAGGAGCTAACCCCAGGGGACCTTGTACATACTGGGCAAGTGCTGCATCATTGAGCTAAAACCCCTAGCCCTAATTCTTGTTTTTAATTTTTTAGCTGGTAATTACTGCCTAGATTCTTTCCTGAGCTTCAAGGTATTTTTTTTTCCTTCCAGATATTTTTGACAAATTCATGTTGACCTAGATTACTGAAAATGAAAGTTCAGGGATTTGAACTTTATGTTCTTAAGTTGAAAAAAAAAAAAGAGAGGGTTAGGTTGTACGCCATGGTAGAGCACCTGTATTTATCTGATTAATCATATTGCAAAGCAAATATAATTGAATTTAAGATTGTATTTCTTCTCATTAATGTACATACAATAATTAAAAGTTTTGTATGAAATGTTAGAGTTGATGATAGAACTTTTAACAGTGTCTCCTGAAACTCACTTAAGAACAAATAGATCAAATTGCAGGGCATGGTATTTAAGCTAAAAATAAAGAATTTTGCTGGGCCAGCACATTGCTCAGCTGCTCACGCTTCCTTTTGGCCTGGATGTGCGTCCCCCTCCTTTCTTTGATGAACTTGAGAACGCGTTTGTCCTTGGAGACCTTGAGCAGCTCCATGGTGCGCCACTTGTAGGGGGCACAGCCACACACCTCCTGGATCATGTCCCACACAAACTTGGTGTGTTTGGTAAGACATCCGAGGCGGCAGTTGTGCCTTGGTTTGCTCACGTTCTTAGTCACCTTGTGGCCCTTGTTGACGCCCACAGCAGAAGGCCATGACTATTCTTTGATGGTTGCTGTGGTAGAAGGCAGAAAAAATTATTAAAAGAAGAAATACACATGGCTATATCTTGTAAAAGTGTATTTAACCAGGTCACAGAAGAATTTAAAAATTGATAATACTTTGATCTGTTTATGGAAATTGGCACCCCCAATCATTGCTAGTAGGATTATGAATTGATACAGTTCTGGAGGGCAGTTTGTCGATATGTGGAAAAATCTTAAATGTTTTTATTTTGTCAGTCTTTTCCTGGAAATTTATTATTTATTTATTTATTTATTTATTTTGGTGAAACCGGGGAGTGAACTCAGGCCCTTGCCCTGCCAGGCAAGCACTTATTCTATTGCGCTATCTCTCCGGCCCCTGGAAATTTATTTTAAAGATTTATTAGAAAACATTAGATTATAAAACCCTGCTTACAGTGTCATCTGTGCTTAGATCAAATTTTGAAAACCCTAAACAGGGGAGACAAAAAAAAAGAATTAAGACAGCGGGGCATGGTGGCACACACCTATAATCCCAGCACTCTGGAAGTTGAGGCAAGATGTGGGGGTGGGAGGCAAGTACTGTATATGCATACTAATAGGCACAGTGCACATTCACATGGGTAGAAATTCCACTGTAATTTTGGGAGATACACATATTCTTTAGTTTTATGGACAGTAAAAGAAGTGTCTGGCAAATATAAACTTCAGCCTCCCTATTAAAGAAATTAAAGTTTTTGAAAGTGGTGAATATTGGTGAAAATATTACTAATGGGATATAAGTTAATGTAAACTCCCTAGAAATGTATAAGGCTTTAAAAATGTCAGAATCTTATGCAAAAGTTGTTTCTAATAATTAAGAAATCATCAGAATCTTAAATTTATATGTGCCAATGACTACTATTATGTGCTTAAATATTTATTATTAGCTTACAGTAGCAAAAATAGTAGCAACTTCAATGTTGAACTTTGTGTAATGATTGTTGTAATCTATGTTTGGCCATGTAAAGTGTCATAGAGGCATTCTGTATAACATTTTAAAAGACTCCTGATACAGGAAACAATTACAGTGTACTGTTAAATGAAAAAAGAAAAGACACCAAGAGGTTCAGGAGAAAAATATTGTTTCTAGTAATGGAATTGTTGGTTTTACCTATTAGTTTCTGTATTATTTCCATTATTTTTATAGTATGTTTTATAATACCATTTTTAAAAATGTTAGCTATGCTGTTGTTTTCAGAGTTCTACTTAAAGTTCCACAAAATGACATTGATGCTCAAAAGTGCACGTAGTTTTTCCCCAAAAAACATAATGCATTAACAAGGTCAGAAAATTTTATCTTAAAAATACATGTTGATGTAAGAGCAAAACAATTAACTCTAGGATACCTTTTTTTCTCCTACCAGAAGTGGAAGACTTATTTTCTTCACTTAAACATATCCAACATACTTTGGTAGATTCTCAGAGCCAGGAAGATATTTCACTGCTTTTACAACTTGTACAAAATAAAGATTTCCAGAATGCATTTAAGATTCACAATGCTGTCACAGTGCACATGAACAAGGCCAGTCCTCCTTTTCCTCTTCTTGCCAACGCCCAAGATCTTGCACAAGAGGTATGTATTATGAACATCTTAATGACATTTACAGTAATTATTAGTGATAGTAAGGGAGTATGACTGGAAAAAAATGATGTAACTATAGTTTAAAGTAGTTATGATCACGTTAATAATTTATTGTGATAGGAAAATTTTGCTATATGCATTGTATCCTGAAAAATGCTGTGATTGGATTTAGTTCTGTTTCATGATACTTTTGATACAGGATTATAAGTTTGGATAGTAACAAACAGATTTCAGTAACTAGAGGGCAAAGTTTTTAAATGCTTTTAGTATTCCTTTATTAATTTTAAGCATTATGCATCATAAACTAAGAAATGAATACCGGTTGGGTAAAATTATAATTGATAATTGGAAATATAGAATATAACTCCTAAAATTTATAACTTATAGGTATTTTAAAGTATTTCTTCTATTAAAAACCGAATTTCCGGTTTGGGAAGATAGCTCAATAGATTAAGTGCCTGCCTGGCAAGTGCAAGGTTCTGAGTTCAATCTCTGGAACCACAAAGTTACAGATCCAAAAGAGCTTTCATTTAGGGGCCGGGGAGATGGCTCAGTAGGATAAGCGCTTGACAGGCAAACACCATGATCTGA